GTGTTGTTTCGTGTTCAGTTGTAAGAAATGTGATCGACCAATTTATTTTTTTAATTTCCTACAAGTACCTATGAAAAGAGATTACTTATGATTAGAATTTAGTTGAAAATCCGAGTTGTTCTAATTTTTGCAATTAAAATAGTTTCCGAATCGTGTTGTCGGTATAGCTTAATGCATCCGCACGCAGATCCCTGTCCAGTAATTGTGGCATGTGTCCAATGTCCGTATGAACGCATAATGATGCATAGTATTGTTATCGCTATTTTTTTCCCTTCGTCAGTTTTTTCTCATTTTAAAACGAACGCCACCCGAAACATTACTAAAAGTCATTATCATCGTCGGATACTTATCATAATATATAAATACAAATTTTTGGTCTCTTTCTTTTTATTTTTTATAAATATGGAAAAAATCTTTACAAGAACATTTATCACTCTTTGTCTTTCTTTCTTTCCAGCAGCAAGAGAATTTAGTAAGTATAATTACATATCGGTCTAGGGCTTCATATGAGATTCGTATTTGAATGATATCGTCGCTTTGCGTTATGTGCTGATCAAAAAATTAATAGAAAGCAAATAGCAATTACATTAAAACTTTGTCATTAACGTCAACAAACGTACTTGCACGACGCATATTATTCCATTTTTATGTACTTGTGTGTACTAATAATGCGATAACTTACATTACAATTTACATTGCGATATATGTGCCTATACATATTTGAGTAAATTATTTCTTGAAAAAAGCAAGCTTTGCCTAATATGAATGTATTTATGGCCATCTCTTATTACTACACTTAGAAGCGTCATGATATTTGCCTGAAAATAATGAATATGATCGGACACGATCATTAATTGAAAAGCAATAAAAAAATTCTCAAATATTATTTATACATCTTTAGGGAAAAGGTACTGGATCAGGACATAGAACTTTACTTTACGGCAATGCTATACTTCTAAGGCATCTAAACAGCGATATGGTACGTTAATTAAAAGATTTGCTTAATACAATAGCATATATATTTTGAATTATTCATTCATTCATTCTGTTGTTTCAGTATCTGGCATGTTTGTCAACGAGTTCTTCGAACGATAAGCTCGCTTTTGACGTAGGTTTACAACAACACTCTCAAGGTTAATCAAGCAAATCAATATCTATTATATATTTCAATATTATTAACGTATGAATACGTATGGTAATAATATGTACATAAAAACTTGTTGTGTAGGCGAAGCTTGTTGGTGGACGGTGCATCCAGCCTCAAAACAAAGATCAGAAGGTGAAAAGGTCCGAGTAGGCGACGATCTAATTCTTGTATCGGTAGCTACCGAGAGATATTTGGTAAGAAGATAGATATACGAATATGTATTAATTATTTTATTTTATTAATATCTTCATATTGTAATCGTTAATATATCTTTTTTATTGTTATAGCACACAACGAAAGAAAATGGTTTATCGGTAGTGAATGCATCGTTTCATGTGACACACTGGTCGGTACAACCATATGGTACTGGTATCAGTAGAATGAAATACGTAGGATATGTTTTTGGTGGAGACGTTTTAAGATTTTTTCATGGTGGCGACGAGTGTCTTACTATTCCTTCGACATGGAATACATCATCTAATCAAAAGTATTGTGTTGTTTATCGTTTATTATTGATATACATATTATACATATATTTATATAAAAATAATCGTTTTTTCTTACATATTTTACGCAGTATCGTAACTTACGAAGGAGGAAGCGTTATGAGCCAAGCAAGATCCTTGTGGAGATTAGAATTAGCGAGAACTAAATGGGCAGGTGGTTTTATCAACTGGTTGCATCCAATGCGTATAAGACATCTAACCACTGGCCGATATCTTGGAGTAAAAGAAAATAACGAACTATATTTGGTGGATAGGTATTTATGTCATCTTCATCAATTATTATTTCTCACATTGTTTTTTTTGTCTTAATCAATATGCTAAATTTATAATACTAATTATAGAAACGAGGCAACGATAGAAACTTCTACTTTCTGGCTGAGACAAGAAAAGGATGATCAAAAAATAATTCTTGAGGATAAAGATTTAGAAGTTATTGGAATGCCGATTATTAAATATGGTGACTCGACGGTTATTATGCAACATGCTACAACGTGTCTATGGGTGTCTTATAAGGTATAAATAATGTTATTTTATTACTATTAATAGAATATCACTATATAGGTATATTTGTTTTTAAATCGGGTTTTTTTCTTTAACGATTATTTCAGTCATACGAAACAAAAAAGAAAGGCGTGGGAAAAGTAGAAGAGAAGCAGGCAGTATTGCACGAAGAAGGAAAAATGGACGATGGTTTAGATTTTTCACGTTCTCAAGAAGAAGAATCTAGAACGGCCCGTGTTATTAGAAAATGTAGTAGCTTATTCACGCAGTTTATTACGTAAGCATTTTTATTATTTAAGAATTTGCTTATTTATTGATATTACGTTATTATATAATTGAAAGATATTAAAAGTTGATAAAAAATATCTTTTAGAGGCTTAGAAAACTTGCAAGTTGATAGAAGAGCATCGATGTTTTTTCAAAATGTAAATCTCAATGAAATGGTGATGTGTCTGGAAGATTTAATCAATTACTTTGCTCAACCTGAAGACGATATGGGTAAGAACGTAACATTATTGATTTTATAGGAAAAGCGAAACGACAATTATAAAATATAAATAAATTCTTTCAGAGCATGAAGAAAAACAAAATAGATTTCGGGCACTTAGGAATCGTCAGGATCTATTTCAAGAAGAGGGAATATTAAATCTCATTTTGGAAGCTATAGATAAAATAAATGTGATTACTTCTCAAGGCTTTCTTGTGGCACTTTCGGGAGATGAAAGTGGTCAAGCGTGGGATCAAATTTCTGGTTACCTTTATCAATTATTAGCAGCTATAATCAAAGGAAACCATACCAATTGCGCTCAATTTGCAAATAGCAATCGTTTGAACTGGTTGTTTAGCCGTTTAGGTTCGCAGGCGTCCAGTGAAGGTACTGGAATGCTGGATGTACTTCACTGCGTTCTTATTGATTCGCCCGAAGCTCTGAATATGATGAGGGTACTTACAATTTTTTACAGTTTGACAGGAAACATATTTATGACGGAACGTACTTCATGTTTGATTCGTTTTTTAGGATGAACATATAAAAGTGATAATCTCTCTTCTTGAGAAACATGGCAGGGATCCAAAAGTTTTGGATGTGTTATGTTCGCTTTGCGTGGGCAACGGAGTTGCTGTACGATCATCACAGAATAATATCTGTGATTTTTTACTTCCTGGAAAAAACTTACTTCTTCAGACGCAACTGGTTGATCATGTTGCTAGTATCAGACCAAACATATTTGTTGGTAGAGTTGAAGGATCAGCATTATATCAAAAATGGTATTTTGAAGTTACCGTCGATCATATCGAACAAACAACGCATATGATGCCGCATTTGCGGATAGGTTGGGCAAATACGGCTGGGTAAGTATCATGCAGTACTAAGTATTTATTAATCTATTATCAATTTGTATTTTCTTGTTGCAGTTATATGCCATATCCAGGAGGAGGTGAAAAATGGGGTGGAAATGGTGTAGGTGATGATCTTTACTCGTTTGGTTTTGATGGTGCAAATTTTTGGACAGGCGGTAGAAAGACCCAAATCGTTCAAAATGCTACGGAACCCTTTATCAGAAAAAGCGACGTAATCGGTTGCTCCTTAGATTTGACAGTTCCTGTAATATCTTTTACCTTCAACGGCACCCATGTTGCTGGCACGTTCAGAAACTTTAATCTCGATGGCATGTTTTTCCCAGCGATTAGTTGCTCCTCGAAACTCTCATGTAGATTTCTTCTTGGTGGCGATCATGGAAGATTGAAGTATCAACCACCGGATGAATTTTCTCCTTTGGTAGAAAGTCTGCTACCCCAACAAATACTCTCTTTGGATCCTTGTTTCTATTTTGGTAATATGAATAAAGTCGTTTTAGCTGGACCATGGTTGGTCGAAGATGACACAGCCTTTGTTCCTGCACCGGTTGATACTTCCATGATCAATCTACCGAGTTACGTTGAGCAAATAAGAGATAAACTTGCCGAGAACATTCACGAAATGTGGGCAATGAACAAAATCGAAGCTGGATGGATATACGGTGAACACAGAGATGATTTAAGAAAAATTCATCCGTGCATAGTACAGTTTGAGAGATTACCAGCTGCGGAAAAACGATATGACACTCAACTAGCCGTGCAAACGTTGAAGACAATATTAGCTCTTGGATATTACATTACAATGGATAAACCACCATCAAGAATCAAAACTCTAAGGTTGCCTAACGAACCATTTTTACAAAGCAGTGGTTACAAACCAGCACCTTTGGATCTCAGTGCTATCACTTTAACGCCTAAAATGGAGGAATTGGTAGATCAATTAGCAGAGAACACACATAATCTTTGGGCGAAAGAACGAATTAGTCAAGGATGGACTTACGGATTGAACGAAGATTCTGAGATGAGAAGGAGTCCGCATTTGGTACCGTATCCTAAAGTAGACGAGGCCATTAAGAAGGCTAATCGAGATACTGCCAGTGAAACTGTTAGAACACTTCTCGTATACGGTTATATGCTTGATCCACCAACTGGTGAACAACACGAGGGTAAAGCTTCAATCTTTTTAACATTTGAGTTATTTTTTATAACTTATCATTCTTATAGTAACTAATAATATATTTCTGTTTCTTTGTATATTATAGCTCTACTGTTAGAAGCTAATAGATTACGACAACTGTACTTTAGGACGTATAGGGTGGAAAAACATTATGCAGTTAATAGTGGAAAGTGGTATTTCGAGTTTGAAGTTTTAACAGCGGGTCCTATGCGTGTTGGTTGGGCAAAAGCTGACTGTATGCCAGGAAGTATGTTAGGTAGTGACGAGAATACCTGGGCATTCGATGGCTACAATGTAAGTAACCGATATCGTTATTATTTACATATAATTTCGTAAATCGTCGAAGATATTTAACAAGTGGACTAAGAGTAACGACTGTGCGTAAACATTTTATGTCTTGCGTGTTTGTAAAAAGACAAATAAGTTGATTACGAGTGTGGTAATCACGTCTTTTAGTATTTTCCATAAAACAAATATGAGTTCCTGATTTTTTTCTAGTTACTATTCGAGGTGCAATGATTTTTTTTACACCTGCGCATACAATATATTACAAATTCGTTAAAACGGACGATGAATTAATTATTATTAAATCTAGCGAAGATCTTGACCGAACGATAGACTTTGTTCGGTGGCCTAAGCGCTTCGCGGTATCGACGTAAATACTTTTTTGTGTAGAATTATTAATAATTCATAAAATCATCGTGAATGTCAGGTGACAAAGGTACATGCTGGTACCCACGAATCATTTGGTCACAAATATCAAGTGGGCGACATAGTTGGCTGTTTCATTGACGTCGCAGACAGAACTATCAGTAAGAGTCTCATTTTCCGATAGTCTCTAGAGGTCCACTATATTTTGATTTGTTTTTTCGTCACTACTTTTGTCTTTGTCTCGTTCTATATGTTTCTTTCATGTTGACTTTGTTTTTTCTGCATCCTTGCTCCAAGACGAATGAAATCGCTGAATATTTCATTCACAAGTGTGGCTTCACTTCGATCCTCGTCTATTTATGCAAAAATCATTTTTCAAGAAAGTATTCAGGCTACACTGTCTCATCGAAACATCATAAGTTCAATAATACTACGAGAAAAAGTCGAAACGCGTAACTACGAAATAAAATGTGCAAGATCATCCTATACTCACGTATACAAAAGTAATAATTAAAAAAGAAAAAAGTAATAGTCGTCGCAGTTGCATTTGTTGAATTTGTCCCATTGAAACATTATGTAGTTTATGTACTACGATTCGTGGTTACGGATGATGAGCAAACAAGACTGTTGAACTTGTTCATTTTGTTTTAAAGGAGGAAAAAGTATACTCGGGCACAGCCGAAACATTCGGCAAGCAATGGCAGGTTGGAGATGTTGTCGGGGTTTTCCTGGATCTAATTGACCGAACTATTAGTAAGACGGAATCTTTAAACGAATGCTTCAGCTGCCATTTAAAGCTATAAACATTATATATATCTATATATATATATATATATATATATATAAAATATATATATATTGTATATAATATATATTATATATATAATATTATGTGTAATATATACACATTGTATATTGTATATAACACATAATACATGATATGCAATGTAAAAGACATATCTATGTATGTGTATGTACGCGTATTAGATGATCCATTTGTGTTATTCCTACCAGTTCAGTCATTTTTTGTCTCCTATATTTTTTTATCATTTCTCAATTTTTTTACATATTATTTACAATTAATAAAAAAAAGAAACGATAATCGAAGACGTGTGAGCTAACGATAATAATGACTGTTCGAATCATTTATGTATCGGAAAAGAATTATATATCCGTTTCATTAAAATATTATTCTTTTCAATGGTGTTTAACTTTTTTTCGCTCGATTTCACAGATATGCTAAATTTTCTTTTTCTTTTTGAAATCTTCATGTAATATTCATATCTAGTACTTATATATATATATATATATATATATATATATATATATATATATATAACATTTTTTTTACATTACGATTCGTGCACGCAACTTATAGATATATATATATTTTACTTTTGTCGATATCGAAGTTCTGCTACTGGTTGGTGTAACTTTAGGATGATCCAATTCAGACGCATATACATTATACATATATACTTTGATTATGTATAGTTAGATTACTGGATACAGAATCCGCTAGTTTGATTAATATTTGTGTTATATAGTCGAGCGTAAATTCTTTATTAGGAATAAACAAAAATTTTGGTGTGTACGATCTGTTTATAGATACATATCTCCATTATTTAATGTGTTGAATGATGATAATCGAAGTTTGAGGTACGAATTTGGACTTATCTTTTAAATACGATCGATATGTCCTTATATTTCCTGCCCTTATCGTCTTTCACATCAAATTATTTGGCTGCTTTGCCAAAACGTGTTTAAAGCCAATTCAACAATTTTTTATCATCCTATCATATATCATCGTAATATATTTCCGTATATGTTGGGATTAACCGCAAAACCAGTCACACAGTCCTGATTTTATCATCATTAATAATAACATCATGTAATTTTTCAATCGAAATAGCGTCTATTCGAAGTGTCTTGCGGTATCCAGTATTCTACTGAGCATTATACTGTTATTAATAACAGTGCTTTCGTGATTCATAATTACTAATCATTAATCCTAATAACAAATCCCAATTCACGATGTAACGATGAAAACATTAATATCGCTTTGGAGGATGGCTGCTCGATGCTCACATATTTTTTTCTTATCTTTTTTTAATTATCAAGAAATATTTTTTGTTCTTTGTTTTTTATGTTTTCATGTTATTGTTCATTTCTTTTTTTATTATATATATATATATATATTCTTTATGATATATTCTTTAACGGTATTCTATGCGACTCGGATTGTTTAAGTTTCATCAAAAGTTGTACTATCATTGACATTATTATCCTTTGTTCCAATTTGTTAAAACATCCATTTTTATATTAACTATTCCCGTTAACGATATTATTGCTTTCTTCCAGAACCAATACTACTGCATATGCACGTAGTACATACTACATGTAGAACATTATCTGTTACATCTCTTTAGGTCACCCTTCGTATTAAAATAATATGCATAAAGTCGCATGCATGTATACTGGTTTTAATTAAGTTACTCTCGCATTTGCTTTTGCGGTATCTATTATAAAATACATTTTTACTACTCTTGACGTAAATACGAATTAATCCATATTCATATTTAACGTGTTTTATCTACTTTATTAATATTCCTAGCTCTTTCAATTTAATCGCGCTTTATTATTATGTCTTGCTTAAATGTTGCCGTTGATTTTACTTTATATTGAACGTAGATAGAAATTTTGGATTGTGATTAGTATTCTAAAAAGAAAAAAAAAAAAGAAGAAAACAAATAGAAAAGAAGAAAAATAGAAAGAAGATTTCAATCATATTGATTATGATCGATCATTATAAAAATCCAAAATTTCTTTCGATTTTTCGTTATCGAATAGTCGTGCGTTAACTTATAAAAATGATTTAGGTTTTTCATTAAACGGAGAACTTCTGATGGATGCACTCGGAGGTGAAACTTCGTTTGCCGATGTACAAGGCGATTCTTTCGTACCAGCCTTCACACTTGGGGTTGGGCAAAAGGCTAAACTGACATTTGGTCAGGATGTGAATACATTGAAATTTTTCACGACCTGCGGTTTGCAAGAAGGATACGAACCCTTTTGTGTGTAGGTCCTTTTTTCCTTGTGAATTATATTCAAAATTTATTGTCAATTTTAAAAGAAAATTCGTTAATTTGTAACTTCACACGTTCTAGTTTTTTCTTTCTTTCATATTATAGGAATATGAATCGTTTAGTTACGTATTGGTACACGAAGGATCAACCGATTTTCGAGAATACTGATGACATGGCCGACACTAGAATAGACGTCGCTAGAATTCCTGCAGGATCGGATACTCCACCGTGTTTGAAAATATCTCACAATACATTTGAAACTATGGAAAAGGCAAATTGGGAATTTTTAAGACTATCACTTCCCGTTATTTGTCAGTCAATATTTATCTCGGAAAATGATAAGGTACGAAGATGGCAAGAGATTAAGATGCATCAGAACAGACTTTTATCCGAACAATTCGAGCAGACGCAACAAGCAGCTCCTTCGGCTCACATGGAACAGATCATGAAATCTGGATTTAGTATGAGCGATATCAAAGGTATAGTTATATGTTATTTTATTATGATACGATTGTATTAATCGTAAAATATTCTATTCTATTCTATTCTATTCTATTCTATTCTATTTATATTTTATTTCTTTGCAGGTTTACAAAGAAATTACTCCGAAGATGCAGTTGAAGCTGATGAAATGGCGAAAGAGTCACCTATACCAATGCAAAGAAATAAGCCTACGAGACCACCGAGAAAGGGTTCGATTTATGGATCACGTTCCGGAGCTATGGATAGCGCTGTAAACGAAGCCGAAATGAACGGTTACGGAGAGATGAACGGTGACGTCAAAGATGATAAAAAGAAACGTGGCCGTTCGCCTTTTAGGTAAAAATAAATTTTGAAGATTCTTTAGTATTAACACTTTACCGACCTTAGAAGTATATAAATAAGCAATTTCACGCGATACAAAAATATCTATGGATAGAAGGGGAAAATCACTTTTGTTATACTATCATAAATTTAAAGTCGAAAATGTGTGCGGCCGGTAAAGTGTTATAAAATAGTTTCGAAAGTATAATTAATTTTAACACTTTAACGTTCTTAGAAAACTTAGCAAAGAAATGGAGGATGTGTAAGTAAATTCGATAGTATCGTGTAATGCGTCATATGTGTCTTTCTGTTATGTTTAAAAGAAATAATATTTTGTGATGAGACTCTTCAATGTTGTTTCTTTATTAAAGATTCTTCTCGCGAAAAGCAAAATCACCAGAGGCCAAAGCTAAAACGCCGGAGCTTCAAGTACGTTCGGACGTATCCGATAAGAGTACCAGAACGATGACAGGAAGTAAAACTGCGAGTAAAACTGCTCAAATTCGAGTTTCTACCGTACGTTGAATCTTTAAAATATAAAAATATCTACATGTTATGTGATATAAAAATCTAATGGTTTGCTTTAATGTCTTTCTATTTACAGACCGATCTGAAAGTAGTCCCTCCACAAATTCCAGAACGAAACGCACCAAAAATAATGTCGGTATTAACCGGTAGTGGTGTAGAAGCGATCGGTAATGAAATCTTTGACGCGGAATGTTTAAAATTAATGAACGAATATTTTTATGGTGTGAGAATCTTTCCTGGTCAAGATCCGACACACGTTTACATTGGTTGGGTAACCTCGCAATATCATTTACATACAAAGGACTTTAATTTGTCACGCGTAAGAAAAGCTTCAGTCATCATTACAGATGATTATGATCGTCCGATAGAACAGTACGTTATTTAAAATTGACATAAACGGGGTTAATGAGTCGTACGTATGTATATAGGAATGTTTATATAAAATCATATTCATTTTTTAGAGTCGATAGACAAAGTTGTTACATGGTAAGAGCCGATGAATTATACAACGAAGTTACCCAAGATGCATCAGGAAAGGGTGCATCTCAAGGGATGTTTGTCGGTTGCTTCATAGATACCGCAACTGGTTGTATTTCATTCACTTGCGAGGGTAAAGAAACGAGTCACAAATTTAAAATGGAACCAGACACGAAATTGTTCCCTGCGATTTTTGTGGAAGCCACCAGCAAGGAGATACTTCAAATCGAACTTGGAAGAACGTCTACGACGTTACCATTATCTGCTGCTGTATTACAGAACTCAGAACGTCATGTGATACCACAATTTCCTCCAAGATTAAAAGTACAATGCCTGAAGCCTCATCAATGGGCCAGAGTTCCGAATCAATCGCTTCAGGTACACGCTTTGAAACTCTCCGATATCAGAGGTTGGTCGATGCTTTGCGAAGATGCTATTTCTATGTTGGCTTTGCATATTCCCGAGGAAGATAGATGTATCGATATTCTCGAACTTATTGAAATGGACAAACTTTTAAGGTAAATCTCCTGAAATGCTAGAAATTCAGAGAAATATACAAATGTATTACTTTGTTTGTTACAATGATTAAAATATCATTTTTTTTTTTTAATATTTAGTTTTCACGCACACACATTGACGCTATACGCGGCATTGTGTTATCAATCAAACTACAGAGCAGCGCATGCTTTGTGCCAACATGTCGATCAGAAACAATTATTGTACGCTATCCGAGCCGAATATATGTCTGGACCATTACGACAAGGTTTTTACGATTTATTGATTGCCTTGCATCTCGAGTCTCATGCGACAACAATGGAAGTGTGTAAAAATGAATTTATCATACCTCTTGGTAATGCATAGTTTGTTTATTATAATATATTTTACATGCTACTTAACGATTAAATATTGTTCACGTTGATATTTGGACTTTATAGGTCAAGAATTGAAGGATTTATACGAAGACATTGAAATGAAACACAGTCTTAGATACTTACAAACAGAATCTGTACGGCCGCAAATGAAGATGACTGATATAAGGTAAGATATTTTTTTTTTAAGTAGATATGAATTTTTACTAATCGATTGGCTATCAAGGCAAATTCCTTCCAGCGATCAAGTTATCGAGAATATAAGAAGTCTATACAGTCCACACTTTCCTCTCGATGTTGTACGGGATTATGTAATGATGGCATTAAACGAGGCCGTTGAAATCAATCAAGTTCATAATAGAGATCCAATAGGTGGCAGTAACGAAAATTTATTCTTGTATGTAATATAATAGCTAATAATATTTCATTTGTAGGAATATTCTATAATAAATATGTTTACAGGCCATTGATAAAACTCGTGGATAGATTACTTTTGGTTGGAATGCTCAGAAACGAAGATGTGATGAAATTACTCATTATGATAAATCCTGAAACTTGGGACCCAACATTTGATAAAGGTAATATACTCGATTAAGATTTAATAATATTATATTAATACACATTTTTTTATATTTATATAATAAAACTTCATGATAGATTAAAAAAATAATTTTCGGTACAACACTTTGCAGAAGGAAAAGACGAGCATAAAAAAGGTCTGCTTCATATGAAAATGGCTGAGGGTGCAAAGTTGCAAATGTGTTATCTTCTTCACCATTTAAACGACATTCAGTTACGTCATCGTGTTGAATCGATCATAGCATTCAGTCATGATTTTGTCGGTGATTTGCAATCCGATCAATTGCGACGTTACATTGACATTAAACAATCTGACTTACCATCTGCTGTGGCTGCTAAGAAGACGAGAGAATTTCGATGTCCACCACGGGAACAAATGAATGCTATTTTAAGTTTTAAAAATCTCGATCCAGAGGAAGATACTGAAAATTGTCCTTGCGGAGAAGAATTGGTAGCTAAAATGAACGAATTTCATAGCGACTTAATGTCATACGTATCCTTGCATGCTTTGCAAGAAGCTGTGGATGCTGCTGACGAACCTGTCGAGGAAGTTCAAAAACCAGGTGCAATGAAGAAATTATTTAATTTTATCAATGCTGTGAAAGAACTTGAGGAAGAACCAAAACCAGAACCAGAACCAGAAAGGAAAACTCCTGAAGAGGTATTTCGTAAGGTTCTGATAGCAACTATAGTGAAATGGGCGGAAGAAGCTCAGATTGAAACACCTAAACTTGTTCGTGAAATGTTTAGTTTACTAGTTCGACAATATGATACGGTAGGCGAATTGATTAGAGCTCTGGAAAAGACGTATGTTATCAATAGCAAAACGAGAGAAGACGTTGCTTCGATGTGGGTTGGTTTGAGCCAAATTCGTGCTTTATTACCAGTACAAATGTCTCAAGAAGAAGAAGAACTTGTGAGAGAGAGATTGTGGAAGCTGGTGAATAATCATACATTCTTCCAGCATCCTGATTTGATTCGTGTACTTAGGATTCATGAAAATGTAATGGCAATCATGATGAATACCTTAGGTAGACGTGCCCAAGCACAATCTGATGCACAGACACAGCCACAAACTGCAGAAGGAGAAGCAGCCGCGAAAGAAAAAGATACTTCTCATGAGATGGTAGTTGCTTGTTGTCGATTTCTCTGTTATTTCTGTCGCACATCTAGGCAAAATCAAAAGGCCATGTTCGATCATTTTGACTTTTTATTGGAGAACAGTAATATTCTCCTTGCCAGACCATCTTTGAGAGGTTCTACACCATTGGATGTAGCTTATTCCTCATTGATGGAGAACACTGAATTGGCTCTCGCGCTTAGGGAACACTATTTAGAAAAAATAGCCATTTATTTGTCAAGATGCGGTTTGCAATCAAATTCGGAGCTGGTCGAGAAGGGTTATCCTGATCTTGGTTGGGATCCAGTCGAGGGTGAACGTTATTTGGATTTCTTGAGGTTCTGTGTATGGGTAAATGGTTAGTAAAAAAAAAAGTCATAATATTTTTTTATCTCTACGTTTATCATTTTTAATGTTAAAATTTGCACACGGCACATTAGGTGAAAGTGTTGAGGAAAACGCAAATTTGGTAATCCGTTTATTGATAAGACGACCAGAATGTTTGGGTCCTGCTTTACGAGGTGAGGGAGAGGGTTTATTGAGAGCTATAATAGATGCCAATAAGATGTCAGAACGTATCGCCGATAGACGAAAAGTAAGTCTGACTTTTCTCTGATTTTTCTGATCAATACGATCGGTTAAAATTTTACAATCGCAATTGGGTTTTGTAAGTAAGAACAAAATTTCGTTTTGTTACGTCAGATTTAGTGTACGTCTACGTAAATAATTCGTCAATGTGATTATATTTATTGTTTTAACTATATCGTCGGATAGTGATTTTTTCCCCGTAGCTTAAATAGTTTATTGTTGTATACTTGCCAACTTTATTTTAGTAAATTCCGATGCATGCCCACAAATTTCCACTAATCAAATATCAACGTAGCATTTTAAACAGGTGCACGATGAGGCAGAGGGTACAGCAATGGTGATGCAGTTTGAACATCCACTTCCAGAATCAGACGAAGATGAAGATTATATCGATACGGGCGCTGCAATTCTTAATTTTTATTGCACCCTTGTTGATTTACTTGGTCGATGTGCTCCAGACTCTTCCGTGATCGAGCAAGGTATATTCATATAAAGATTAAATTTTCAAATATCGCTTCATCGTCGAAAAAAAAATATTGTCCTCTTTAATGTTATTTTATTCTTTTAAACAAAATATAGGTATTATTATTTTATAGTAATTACGAAAAATAGAATTGATCGCTCGGTTTAAACGAATTTCGATTTAGAAATACAAATACATACATCAAAGTAGATTATAGAATCATAATCATGTAGATTGTTAGTTAGTTGAAAAATGTTTAGAAAATCAGCAGCTAATGAGAGCGTTTATTTTGTTTTTTAACGACCAACAGAATCCCCTTCGGAGTCCCTTGGTAATATATATCTTATGTGAAACTTCCATTGACACCGTTAATAGGTAAATACATGATAATATTAATTAACGAAGTGAACGTTTCAGGGAAGAACGAATCACTTCGTGCGAGAGCCATTTTACGATCATTGGTGCCGTTGGATGATCTTCAAGGCGTTCTATCATTACGATTTACATTGCACAATCCAGCTGCGGGAGAAGAAAGACCAAAAAGTGATATGCCGTCTGGATTGATACCTGGTCATAAGCAAAGCATCGTACTCTTCTTGGAACGTGTTTATGGCATTGAAACTCAGGAATTGTTTTTTAAATTACTCGAGGAAGCTTTCTTACCAGATTTAAGAGCTGCTACCATGTTAGACAGGGTAATGGCTCATTATTTTTTTTTTGTTCTCTTTACGATCTCTATTACAAAAAATAAATTATTATATTGATGGGAATCTAATTTTGTTTGCATAGAATGATGGATACGAGTCCGACATGGCTCTTGCCATGAATCGATATATAGGAAACAGCATCTTGCCCTTGCTAATAAAACATTCAAAGTTTTATAACGAGGCTGATAATTATGCGAGTTTATTGGACGCTACTTTACATACTGTATATCGGTTGAGCAAAAATAGGATGTTAACGAAGGGTCAACGTGAAGCTGTCTCAGACTTCCTCGTTGCTTTAACCAGGTAAGAAATAAACGTTCTCGATAATTTGTCAATGAACTAATTGAATTCTTCTGATTTAACAAGATGTCTTGACGAGTCAAATTTTTCGTAAGTCACATTGTTACTACCTTTAACATCAAAGTACATCTTATCTGTGATAAATGCTCGATATATATTTCTTTCGTAATATATTTTTATTTTTGTAACTTATTAATATATTTTCTTCATTTTAATTTTATTTCAATTTACAGCCAAATGCAACCGAGTATGTTACTTAAACTACTTCGAAAATTAACAGTGGATGTTTCTAAACTATCTGAATACACTACAGTCGCTTTAAGGGTAAATAACGCATAAATTACTCATAAGTGACATATAAAAATAGAAAGTTGTTTTATTAAAATAATAATATTATTTTAGTTGCTTACTTTGCATTACGATCGTTGCGCGAAATATTATGGATCTACCGGAGGCCAAGGAGCTTATGGTGCTTCCAGCGATGAAGAAAAACGTTTGACGATGGTTTTGTTCAGCAATATATTCGATTCCTTGTCCAAAATGGATTACGATCCGGAATTGTTTGGGAAGGCTTTACCCTGTCTCACTGCTATAGGTTGTGCTTTACCACCGGATTATTCATTGTCGAAAAATTATGATGATGAATGGTATGGTAGTAAATCAGCATCCACGCAATCACCTGATGGTCCATATAATCCACAACCTATCAATACATCTAGGTATATATTAATTGTACATATTCATTATATATCATTCTCTATATTAATAAATAATTATAATCGATGAATTTTGTTTTAGCGTCGTTCTCAACAATGATCTGAATCAAATAGTACAAAAATTCTCCGAGCATTATCACGATGCATGGGCTAGTCGAAAATTAGAGAATGGTTGGACATATGGTGAACAATGGTCCGATATAAATAAAACTCATCCGAGATTGAAACCGTATAATATGTTAAACGATTACGAGAGAGAACGTTACAAAGAGCCAGTTCGAGAAAGTTTGAAAGCTCTTTTGGCTATTGGCTGGAGCGTTGAACATGCCGAAGTTGATGTACCTTCGACGAATCGTAGTTCTATGAGAAGATCATCCAAAAGTCAGGTATATCATTTTAAATTTATTAAGAAAGAATTATAAGATGATTCTTTAACTAACGAAATTGTTTCAATTTAGAGCGATTCTGCAAGTCCATTTAATTACAATCCCCATCCAGTCGATATGACAAATTTAACGTTAAGCAGAGAAATGCAAAACATGGCCGAACGTTTAGCCGATAATGCTCATGACATTTGGGCTAAAAAGAAAAAGGAAGAACTTGTCACGTGCGGTTAGTTAATATATTTAATTGAATATCAAATTGAATATCAAATATGTTAATATATCTGAAAATAAAAATGTAATTTTTTAGGAGGTGGTATTCATCCTCAATTGGTACCTTATGATCTATTAACCGATAAGGAAAAGCGAAAGGATCGTGAACGTTCTCAAGAATTCTTAAAATATTTGCAATATCAAGGCTACAAACTTCACAAGCCAAATCGTGGAGGAGAAACAGAAGTTGCCAGTGCCGGTGCATCAGTTGAATTACGTTTTGCTTATTCCTTATTAGAAAAGCTGATAGCGTATCTTGACAAAGCAACGATTAACATGAAACTCCTCAAACCATCTGATACGTTTAGTCGTAGAAACAGCTTTAAAACGTCGACAAGAGACATAAAATTTTTCAGCAAAGTGGTATTGCCATTGATGGAAAAATATTTTAGTACCCATAGGAATTACTTTATCGCAGTAGCAACGGCTACGAATAATATTGGGGCAGCTTCGTTGAAGGAGAAAGAAATGGTCGCAGCACTTTTTTGCAAATTAGCAAATTTGTTACGATCCAGACTTGCTGCTTTTGGTGCTGACGTAAGGATAACAGTACGTTGTCTACAGGTCCTTGTAAAGGGTATCGACGCAAAGAGTCTTGTGAAAAATTGCCCAGAATTTATCAGGACTTCTATGTTGACTTTTTTCAATAACACAGCGGACGATTTAGGTCATACGATATTAAATCTTCAAGAGGGTAAATATAGTCACCTTAGAGGTACTCATCTGAAAACTTCAACATCCTTATCGTACATCAACAGTGTTGTATTGCCCGTTCTCACGGCCATGTTCGACCATCTTGCTGCTTGCGAATACGGAAGCGATTTGTTGTGTAAGTAAAAATGTTTACATACATATATATATATACATTTGAATATAAAAAAAGGTATATACTTATATTTTACTTACAGTGGATGAAATTCAAGTAGCCTCTTACAAGATGTTGGCATCTCTTTATACTCTCGGTGTAGATTCTAGCCTAACGCACGATAGGAAGTACTTAAAAACCGAAATCGAACGTAACAAACCAAATCTCGGTTCCTGCTTGGGTGCCTTTTCAAGTTGTTTCCCAGTTGCCTTTCTAGAACCCCATTTAAACAAACATAATCAATATTCTCTTCTAAACCGTATTGCCGATCATTCGTTAGAAGCACAAGATATTATGACAAAAATGGAATCAAGTATGCCAACGTTGGAAACGATCCTGACAGAAGTCGATCAGTTCGTCGAGTCTGAAAAAACTTATAACGATGCTCCTCACGTAGTAGATGTCATATTACCTCTTCTATGTTCTTATTTACCGTTCTGGTGGGCACAAGGACCAGATAATGTTAATCCAACCGAAGGCACATACGTTAGCATGGTAACCAGCGATCACATGAACCAACTTTTGAAGAATGTATTAAAATTGATAAAGAAAAATATTGGCAACGAAAATGCACCATGGATGACACGAATTGCAGCTTACACCCAACAGATCATCATTAATTCGTCGGAAGAGTTATTAAAAGATCCATTTTTACCTTTGGCCGAACGTGTTAGAAAACGTACTGATAATATGTTCCACAAAGAAGAATCCCTTCGCGGATTCATCAAATCTTCCACGGATGATACCTCACAGGTTGAAGCTCAGATACAAGAAGATTGGCAACTTTTGGTTCGCGATATATATTCATTCTATCCTCTTCTGATCAAGTACGTGGATTTGCAAAGGAATCATTGGTTAAGGAATAATATACCTGAAGCCGAGGATCTTTACAATCACGTTGCTGCGATATTCAATATATGGTCTAAGTCACAATATTTCCTACGTGAAGAACAAAACTTTATATCGACCAATGAGATCGATAACATGATTCTTATCATGCCTACTGCAACTAGAAGACCAACAACCGTTTCGGATGGTACTGCTCCTGCTGGCGGTGGAAAGGTTGCTTCATTTTTATATTATCTAATATTAAAAAATAATAATAAAAATATTAAATAATTTACTTCTTTTCTTTTCTCTATTGACGAATAGAAAAAAAAGAAACATCGTGACAAGAAAAGGGATAAAGATAAGGAAGTCCAGGCGTCTTTAATGGTAGCATGCCTTAAACGCTTGTTGCCGGTCGGTTTGAATCTGTTCGCTGGCCGTGAACAAGAACTCGTTCAACATTGCAAAGATAGATTCTTGAAAAAGATGCCGGAGTACGAGATCGCCGAATTTGCTAAGACCCAATTAACTTTACCGGACAAAATCGACCCCGCGGACGAGATGTCTTGGCAGCATTATTTGTATTCGAAGTTAGGACAGAAGAAGGATGCAATGGAACCAGTTAAAGCTCAACAATTGGAGGATGTAGTTGCTAGAATTACAGACATGGCTAAAGTACTTTACGGCCTACATATGGTAAGCTAATAAATTAATCTTTTCATTAATGTAAACTGCTAGATACGTTTTCGTAAGCATATTATTTATTAAGTTTCATTTTAAAGTTTCTCAATTATATTTTCTTCGATGTAGCTCTGTTTCACAAATTTCTTTCATCATTTTATGTTCTCGAGTAGATAGATCATCCACAACAGCAGAGCAAGAGTCAATACCGATCCGTGGTGTCGATACAACGCAAACGAGCGGTGATAGCTTGTTTCCGTCAAACTTCCCTACATTCCTTGCCCAGGTATCCTTTTTTGTTCATTTACGTTTGTTGCATTCCCATAAGAGTTATATTTCTTTGGTATATTAGTTTTTTTTTATTGATAATGATTATACAACCCATCTTATTTTTTATTTTAAAAAACAAAAACACGCTTTTCTATAGGTAAAAACCAATTTGATTTCTTCGTTTCTCCTTTATTTCGTCTTTTTACTTTTATTTATTTATTTATTTTATTATTATACCCATTGCTTTTATTATCAAATTTTAATTACTCGCTCATGGCAATAATTATACGTTTTCTTAGAGTTAGAAACGAAATAAATATCTCGTGTATCGAGATAGTGTGTATTGTAAAAAGTGATTTTACGTTTGCGCTTGTACGAAACAGCATATGTATGTATATGCGAAATCGTTAAAGTAATTTTGTGTGTTCGAAATTATTCTCGATGTCCTTAACGAATTTAGTTGTGTGTGCATGCTGCTAACAGGCGACAAAACCTCCACCATCTCGAGATGGATGGAAACGTGTGCTATGCGCAGCCAGAAAGAGAGCAGCGATTGCATGTCTGCGTAGTGAACCATTGTACAAGTTGAGAAGGTAATGCATCGGTATTAATGAATTACAATCTAAAAACAAAAAAAAAAAAAGAAAAAACAAAAAAGAAAAGATTTATCTTATCAAATTAGAGTTATTTAATTTTTATTCTATCATCGTGACTTTGAAATATTATATTGAAATATTATTTTTTAGGCATCGGGCAATAAATATATTTGCAAGGACGTATTACGAATTGTGGTTGCAGGATGAAAACGTAGGTCAGGAAGTAATGATTGAAGACCTTACGGTAATTATTCATTAATACCGTAATATTAATTTTTCATTTTATTTGATAAGAATATCGTATAATATTTTGCGCGTGAATTGTAGCAATCTTTCGAGGATGCAGAATTGAAGAAAATGGACAAGGCCGAGGATGAGGGTAAACCAGATCCATTAACGCAATTGGTTACGACGTTCTGTCGTGGTGCTATGACTGAAAGATCCGGTGCTCTTCAAGAAGATCCATTGTACATGAGTTACGCTCAGATTATATCGAAATCTTGTGGCGAAGAAGAAGAGGAGGGTGAAGAGGAAGGCGGAGGTGGTGAAGAAGAAGGCGGAGCATCTATTCATGTAACTATTTTTACGATTTATTCAATTATCTGTCCAACTAACGATGACATTTCCTTTCTACTAATCATGAATTTCGATTAATTAACTTAAATAACAAGGATTTTATTTTTTTTTTTAACTTATTACTCGTGTAGAAGTGGCCACATAAACTGCTTATGGTAAGATCAAGACGTTAATCGAACAAATCAGCGCTTTTACAATAAAAACGCATCGCCGTAATTATACGCATATTTCTTTCGATCGATTAATCATGATAGAACTCATGATTTACTTACTTTAGCAGTAGAGTTTATGCAGCCTTCATCCTTTCATTTATAAGTTTTTTTTTTTTATTTTTAAATAAAACGATATATTAATAATATCGATATTCTCAATTTATGTCACTAATAATGCTTATTACACTTTTAATTGCATTCTCAAGAGGCCAATGCATAAATTAATGGTAAGATATTTCAATGGAACATTTAGATCATCTCTAACTTTATTATTGTGTACATATTTAATATATTAAATTATATCATTTTAAATTGTTATATAATTTCGCAGGAACAAGAAATGGAGAAGCAGAAGCTGCTCTTTCATCAAGCACGTTTAGCAAATCGTGGTGTCGCAGAGATGGTGTTGCTTCATATATCAGCTTGCAAAGGTGTTCCAAGCGAGATGGTTATGAAAACGTTGGAATTGGGAATTTCTATTTTACGCGGCGGTAACATCGAGATACAACGAGGAATGTTAAATCATCTGAAGGAGAAGAAGGACGTTGGTTTTTTCACTTCAATCGCGGGTCTTATGAATTCCTGTAGTGTCCTAGATTTGGATGCTTTCGAGAGGAACACAAAAGCCGAAGGTCTTGGTGTTGGTTTTGAAGGTGCTGCTGGCGAAAAGAATATGCACGATGCTGAATTCACATGTGCATTGTTCCGTTTCATACAGCTGACTTGTGAAGGCCATAATCTTGGTATGTATATTTAACACGATTTATTGAAATATTAACCTAAATTATTTTGCGTTGGTGTCTTATTATATTTTATCAATATATTTTTATCTTATCCAGATTGGCAAAATTATCTTAGAACGCAAGCGGGTAATACAACAACGGTAAATGTCGTCATATGTACTGTGGATTATTTACTGCGTTTACAAGAATCCATTATGGATTTTTATTGGCATTATTCGAGTAAAGAACTCATTGATCCTGCTGGTAAAGCGAACTTCTTCAAAGCTATAGGTGTTGCTAGTCAAGTCTTCAATACTCTTACTGAAGTTATTCAAGGACCTTGCGCACAAAATCAACAGGCCTTAGCACATTCTAGATTGTGGGATGCTGTTGGTGGTTTTCTCTTTTTGTTTTCACATATGCAAGATAAATTATCTAAACACTCCAGTCAAGTAGATCTCTTGAAAGAATTATTAAATCTACAAAAGGATATGATCACTATGATGCTGTCAATGTTGGAAGGTATTATTAAAATTGAAATAATTTTAATATTAAATGAATTTTTTTTTAAGAATAATTATTATCGATATTTATATTTATATTAATATAGGAAATGTCGTGAATGGTACTATCGGAAAACAGATGGTTGACACCTTGGTAGAGTCGGCTGGAAACGTCGAATTGATTTTGAAATATTTCGACATGTTCCTGAAGTTGAAAGATCTAGTATCATCGCCAAGTTTCTTAGAAGTAGATCTTAATAGTGATGGTTGGGTATATCCTAAAGATTTTAAAGAAAAAATGGAGCAACAAAAAAGTTATACCGAGTGAGTTAAAACAAATTTAAACTGTTGGTTTAATCTTTATACGTGACTATATTGATAACAATCGTATTGTTTTAATATCTAGCGAAGAGATTGAGTTTCTATTAGCTTGCTGCGAGACAAATCATGATGGTAAGATCGATTACGTCGCTTTTATGGATCGTTTCCACGAACCTGCAAAAGAAATCGGCTTTAATCTCGCAGTACTTCTCACCAATCTTTCGGAGCATATGCCGAATGAGCCTAGATTAGCGAGATTCCTTGAAACTGCTGGCTCCGTTCTCAATTATTTCGAACCCTTCCTTGGAAGAATCGAGATTCTAGGTGGTAATAAAAAGATCGAGCGTGTTTATTTCGAAATAAAAGAATCAAATATAGAACAGTGGGAGAAGCCACAAATTAAAGAATCAAAAAGAACATATTTTTATAACACGGTAGTCGAGGCCGGTGAAAAAGAAAAGCTGGAAACTTTTATTAATTTCTGCGAAGACGCGATATTTGAAATGCAACATGCCAGTGCTTTAATGGCTGTAGAAGAAAGCGGCGGTATTGGTAAAGCAAGAGAATCATCTTACACTTATATGTCGGAAGATGATGAAGAAAGAAACAAAGATCCGATAAGGAGAGGTATACAAGCTTTCAAGGATGGCATTTATTTCTTTTTCTCCATGTTTTCACCAACGAATATAAAGAATAAAATAACAGAAATGCAACAGATGACAATACCCGAACTATTTATTGGCTTTTTCAAAATGATATTCTACGCATTTTATTATTCTGGATTCGGAGTTGGTTGTGTTATCAGGTACTTTATGAAATTATTATTAACTTTGATGAGAGGACCACATGTGGACGAACCTGCGGTCGAGGTGAAGGAAGAGGAAGAAAAACCATCAAGACATTTACCGGCTCTACCTCCAACGCCAGATGAATCTAATTTACAGGTTGATCTATATTTTATTTAATTGTATATAAATAATATAATATTTCATGGGAAACATTACATTTATCATAAATCATTACAATATACAGGTACAAGCTTTTGGAATGGATATAACGAAAGAGGAAGGTGGTCAAATAAAGATAGCACCGCATGAATCGTCAACTTCGACACCACAATCGAGCATCGAAGAAACTGGCGAAAGTACCCCAGACGAAGGTGGTGGTGAAGAAGGTACAAGAACGGGCGAAGGAGGTACTGGAGAATCTGAAGCACCTGTTACATTCGTTGATTTACTTGGGTATGATCATTTTGATACATATGTACTTTCTAAACAATTTCATTTAACATATCATGTTAATCTTTATCGGGTATTAGAAGCTTTGTATATAACTAAAAGATTGCTAAGTTGAAGTTTTATTCAATTTTTATTTCGTTTTATCATCCTCTACGTGACATACGATCAACGTGATAAAGTTTTAATGTAACGTCAGAGATAATGTGCGAATGATAAAATTTAAGTACCTTAAATCAATTAAAATTATTAATAGTGGCGAACAGGCAAGAGCTCAGGCCGCAGCAGCAGCTGAGGCCGCGGCAGCTCAACAAGCAGCAATGGCAGCAGTAGAGGCAGAAGCAAAACAAGAAACGGCAATCGAACCATCGGCTGCTTCGACCATAGATTTTTCTGAATATACTCACCGTATTGTCTCATTTTTGGCTAGAAATTTCTATAATCTGAAATACGTTGCTCTTGTTCTTGCCTTCTGTATAAACTTCATGCTACTATTCTATAAGGTACGTAATTTGATTATTTATTAAATGAGCCTATGATTGAACTATGATTTTTCTTAGGTTACATCTCTCGCTGGTGATTCGGACGATGAAGGCAGTGGCGATTCTATGGCTGATATCTTAGGTGACATGTCAGGTGAAGGTTCATCGGGTGCAAGCGGTAACGGTTTAGAAGTCGGAAGTGGTAGTGGTGAAAATGATTCGGAAGAGGAAGATGAAGATGCTTTAGAATTTGTTGAAGTATCGGAAGACTTTTATTATATGGCTCACGTTATGAGACTTATGGCTGCTCTTCATTCTATCGTCTCGTTAGCTATGCTGGTCGCTTATTATCATCTTAAAGTATGTATTAAATTATAAAACTTATTTCGTTTTACCTGTATAGTGATTCAATATAAAACAATTTAATGCAGGTACCGTTAGCCATATTCAAACGTGAAAAAGAAATCGCACGTCGAGTTGAATTCGATGGTCTGTACATAGCTGAAAGTCCCGTAGAAGATGACATAAAGGCACATTGGGATAAAATGGTAATATCGGCCAAAACATTCCCTGTTAATTATTGGGATAAATTCGTCAAAAAAAAAGTAAGACAAAAGTACAGCGAAACTTATGATTTCGACTACATCAGCAATTTGCTTGGGATGGAAAAGACATCTTTCAGTCAACAAGAAGAAGAAGGTTCTGGCTTGATACACTTGTGAGTTTTCGTATCGTGGAAAATAATTACTTTAGTATTATTTTCATGATCTCATCATATTTGTTTTTTTTTTTAACAGTATCGTAAATATCGATTGGAGATATCAAGTATGGAAAGCTGGCGTCACTATCACAGATAATGTAAGAAACAATAAAGAGAAACATATTTGTTTTTCGATGAATGTAATGTGTAATATTAAAAAAAGCGTTATTTTTTCTTAGGCATTTCTGTACAGTCTTTGGTACTTCACATTTTCAATATTGGGAAATTACAATAACTTTTTCTTTGCTGCACATTTACTTGACGTTGTGGTTGGTTTCAAAACATTGAGAACGATTTTACAATCTGTAACGCACAACGGAAAACAATTGGTGCTAACAGTAATGTTATTAACAATCGTAGTCTACATTTATACCGTGATAGCCTTCAATTTCTTTAGAAAATTTTATATTCAAGAGGAGGACGACGAAGTTGATAAGAAATGTCACGACATGTTAACGGTAGGAATAATAAAATGTTTATTAAATATTCGTAATAATAAATAAAGAAATTAAAACGATATTATTTTTTTTCAGTGTTTCGTTTTTCATTTGTACAAAGGTGTAAGAGCCGGTGGTGGTATCGGTGACGAAATTGGAGAACCAGATGGTGATGATTATGAAGTTTATCGTATCATGTTTGATATTACATTCTTCTTCTTTGTCATCATTATTCTTCTTGCTATTATCCAAGGTAAATTTCGTGGATGAATATAAACACTTATGCATATTTTAATATCGTAATTTTATATAGGTTTGATCATCGATGCGTTTGGTGAGCTTCGAGACCAACTCGAAAATGTCAAAACGAATATGGAGAGCAATTGCTTCATATGTGGTTTAGGAAAGGAATATTTTGATACGGTACCACACGGATTCGACACTCATGTTCAACAAGAACACAATCTTGCAAATTATATGTAAGATAATTTTCTTCATTCTTTTTTTCTTTTTAGATTATCTCTACAAAACAACAATATCATATTCGTTATATTCCCATGCAGGTTCTTCCTGATGCATCTAATCAACAAACCCGATACGGAGTACACGGGTCAAGAAACGTACGTCTGGAATATGTACCAACAAAGATGTTGGGACTTCTTCCCTGTCGGTGATTGCTTCCGTAAACAGAACGAAGCGGTAGAAGAAGAAACTAAAAAGAAATAAATTAGCAATCTTTTTTATGTTACATTTTACATCTGTGACGTGATCGATTCGATCGACATACTTCTACTTTAACAAAGATTTATTGCTTGCAACGTTTCCAAAATAATGTTGACGTTTTAACGAAGGTTTAAGGTTCGATGATACATCCTGGAAACTGCATGCTTTATTATTTAAAAATTTTAAGATCACTTTACATTGAAGTGTGTGTATATATATATCCCCATTCAACGTTTATGTCATATTTCAATTCTGAAATACATTCTGTGTTATATCGTGCGACCTAACACAACACTTAGGAAGTAAAAGTACGTCGAATGTTGATTAAAGTTACACATATTTTTCCAACTTTATAATTGTAGCTACAATACGGTATGTTCGGCGATTTCACGTTTTTTAGATAAGTAAATTTAATCGAAGTATGGGGAGACCTTCGACCAGTACAACGTTAGTATCTACTGATAAACAAAAAAAAGGTATAAGATATAAAAGAACGACTGCACAAATCAACATATTCATAGCGTTATAATTGCCTTCTTCTCTTACGTCGATACCGACCAAAATCGATCCGTGCATAAATCCATTATAATATATTATGATGAGCGTTTGCGATGTGACGCAAGTTAGAATGTAAGTTAGTTGATCGCGTTTAAAGTTTATATCATTAAGTCATAAGTCGTGTATATTTCTTGGAAATATCAAAACTTTTTTGAGAACGATCGATGACTGAAGAACCTATCGTACGGTATGCCCGTAAATGTCAATACATATATATATAAAAATACATATATATACATATATATATATATTGTACATAAAATTCTACGGCAAGATAAACTCTCGAAGAATAAAGAAAGAATTACTTCTTTATCGCACGTTATTTCTTGTGAGTGTTCGTTTGTTTTTCAACCCGCCAAAACGATGAGAACCCAAAGTAATATACAGGATGATCCATTTATGGAATATTTAAATCCTTAAAGAAATACTTATGCAAATTTTCTTTTCAAATAAAACAATGAGAAACAATTTTTTAATGTCGATCAATTTTTAAAGCGTTAATTAACTAAAAGAAAAAAAGAAAAAAAAGGAGACATCATTATCTCGTCGCCATTAACGGCGCAAAAGCAATAGAGAACTGATATACCCCTGATGTATCCCTGATGTATAAAGAAGAGAAATATACGTATGCAATGGTAAATGAAGGGAAGGAGGTCGCGCAAGCGCTTCGGTTAGGCGCCGGTTAAAAGACCCGGGGCGAAGATGCACCATGGCATGGGAGTGTCAATGGGCGATCGTCACGGCGGCCAAAATTCAACGATGCAGCCCAGAAATGGAGTTTGCAACAAAATCGAAAATTACATATCCGAGCTGGGACAATGGTATGTGTAATTTAACTGTTTTCAATGAGTAAAATGGTCGAAAGGTGCAATGATATCTTCTCATCCTCAAGCCGGTGGTCCGTGCATTAATGGTGAAGGGGTGAGGAGGGATACGCTCAGAGAACGAAAGTGGCGGGTGTTTCACGATTTATATACCGTCGGTTTTTCATACTACTCTTCGAACATACGTTTCTTTTTTAAATCATCATTTCTTTTCTTAATTTATCTTACAAAGGAACTTCTTTATCTCGTATTTGATCGATATTCGATGCAGATTTGTTTTTATTGTGTTATTTCATATCGTTTGTTAACTGATACTCATTGAATAAATCGTTCCTTTTTTTCTTTTTCTTTTTTCTTCGAAATAATTGATGTATTTTATATTTGTAGGGCCGTATGGCGTGCCATAATAATGGGCCAATTTTTGTCCCTGGTACTTTTCTTCATGACACTCATTAATCATTACATCAACACGACTTACCAGTTATCATTACCAACAGGTAAGATATTTATAATTCGTACTTTCCCAAGTTTGAAAAAGATGTTCGAATCGTAACGATACCATAGGTGGCTATTCCAATGGTCGTTATTGTTATTTCGATGATTTTCAAGAATCAAGGAAGATTTTTTTCCGAGACAGGACAAAATTTGCCACACTACGCTATGATGTGCCTAGTGTACACAACGTGGATGTCCTGTAGGTGTGTTGGAAATGGTCTAATATCTGTTATAAAAGCCCGTGGTTGGAGATACTTGTTGTTAGCGCTCATCGACGTTGAAGCATGTACACTTATTACATCGTCGCATCAATTCACCAGCCTTGCCAGTATACAGGTACACCAGTCTCTTACACTGATCATGTTAAAGATTTCAACGATCCAGGACAATGGCTCTCCTTTTTCTCACGGACATCTGTTTGACCGATGTATTAATATCGATGCGCTCGTTATCAGATTAATGAAAAAAAAAAAATATTGACTATTCGTATTAAATTAATTTAACTCATTTCAGTTACTCGATTGTGTGGCTATCCCAGTGGCATTAGCACTTTCTTGTTTAGTTCTTGGAGTAAGATACAGGATGGTTCATATCGTTGGTGTTTCTGTCTGTCTAATGGGTGTAGGATGTTTAGTTTGGGCGGGAATTAACAACAATAAAGATCCAGCATCAACTGGTAATTATTATAAAATATAACGTATTCGTTGTACGTAATTTTCTTTTAAAATGAAATTGTATTGACTACATCCTTAATCGTATCAATTAAATCACTGTTATTATATGCTAACTTATTATTAATCTTTTTAAAATGCTATTATTTACTTTCTTTACCAATTATATGCAAAGGTAAAAATCAATTAGTCGGCGACATGCTTTGTCTCGGCGGTGCCGTTTTGTTCTCGATAACGACGGTACTTCAAGAATTGGCTGTTAAAACGGTCGATATTATCGAGTACTTGGGTATGATTGGTTTCTTTGGCACGATATTGAGTTGTATGCAAATGTAAGTCAATATCATTGTCTCTTCGATTTTTGTTTTTTTCTATCGATACGATGAGTACAATTTTTCATCCATTTTTTTAGAGCCGTTCTCGAGAGACTTCAAATCGAATCGTTCCAGTGGGACAATGTACCCGTTATCACGTTCTTAGTGGCTTATTGCATTACACAATTTGTTTTTTTCTCTCTCGTTCCTGTCGTATTATACGAATCCGGCGCAACGGCATTGCAATTGGCTCTTTTAACTGCAGATTCTTTTAATATTTTATCAGGCATACTGATACATCACTATAAGGTAAAGTAATTAAAATAAATTAGAAAAAAATTAAAAAAATATAAAAAAGGGAATTCAAACATCGCATTACTCATACGTTAAAATAAAAGTAATTAATAAGTTCAATATGGTTTTTGCACGAATAATGCATGCAGTTAGAAAAACGAAGTGAACGAAGTTATTTGCTTTGTTCCAGTTTCACACCTTGTATTTTGTCTCCTACACGCTCACAATGACTGGCATATATATTTATGCTATAAAGAGGACACCGATATCATCGAACTCGCGAAGGCAACACGTCGAGCCTCCTGCTCCAGATTACAGGTAAATTTCAATGTTTACTCATTTTTATACATCTTTTTAACGCACTTAATCGCATGTAATAATTTTATTATGTCTAATTTATTTTATTGTTGAGATTAATAATAAATTATTTTAAGTTATTTTACGTTAAAAGATGCGTTGGATTACATTAAGAAATTTTATTAAAAATTGTTATAAAAAAAAAAAAAAAAAAAAAAATAATTAATCCTCCGAGCAATAATCAATTAATAATACAATTAGCATTTTTATCGAGAGTTTTAGGTAAGTGAAAATTATTAGGATCTAGAAGAGTAAATAATTAGTTGATAAGAAAGTACGATGGTAATATTTTAGCAAATAATTGACCGAGCATCGATTAAAGTGATATAATTTTAAGACACATGTCGCATGGCGACGTGGGTGAAGTGGAAATGGCGACAAGCTCCGGTATGTCAGCAGTGAGCGGTACTCTTGATATAAGAGCGTCCACTCTCGGGAGCGAAAGAGAAACGATGGATGCAATGAGTTTACCCCTCAGTGTCAGTTCCGATACAGCCTTCACATCGTTCTATGGTAGTCAAGCAAATCTAAAGGTAGCGTTTTGATCGATATTACAAAGCAATTCACCTGCACAAAGCATTTGAACCTTGACATTTTTGTAACAAAGATCATTCGCTAATTAATAATGTCAAATTTTTGTTATCTCATATGCATCCTTTGTTACTTTTAAGGCTACTAATGAGTGTACCCTTTTAGGCTACTAATGGACTCAGCGGTTCTGCCTGTAATTAATAAGATACATGGAAACAACTGCCTAGATAAATAGCACGTAAGTCCAAGAGTTACAATTCTTTGTAAAAGAGGTAAAGAAGATATATCTTGAGGATACAACACAAGGATATTCAAAGGAAAAAGAAAAAAGAAAACACGAAAAAATGTTTGTATATCGAAATAATAGTTACAATTGTAATAGTACCGTTTATATTACATTTTTTAGATAGCAGTACATATATATATATATATATATATATATACATACATATATACATATATGTATATATATATATATATATCCTCCAAAGACCAACCAAAAAAAAAATCCCCTTTGGAGGAATGTCATTACTTTTAAATATCTTCCCATCACGACGCACTCAAATCATTGACGATCCCATAATGACAATATCGGCAGCACGAGCGATTATGTTTTGTTTGAAACGCTTATGGTCACTGGCCTATGTCAGTAGCTACTTTTTGCATGCTCCTGCCTTTAGAATAGTACGTGAATATAAGGGTATAGAGAAAAAATAGTAGATGACGATAAATGATGTATATTATTATCGACACTGTCACGACGTCGATCAACCTTTCTTATCTTACAATTAGTTAGAAAAACGGATACGCGATATGATGATACTTTGCGAGTCATTTTTCTACATTAGTCGTAACTCGGTTGTGCGTATCGATATATATATATATATATATATACACATATGTATATATATATATATGTATGTGTGTGTGTGTCGAAAAGTATTTCTTGACAATGGGTACAAGTAAACGAAGAGATCAGCCGAGTAAATCTTTTCAGCCAATAAAAGATTTGGTGGTTTCTAATTTTTAGCGTAATTTAAGACTTAAATATTAAGACTATTTAATAAAACACTAATTATTGCCGTTTACACTTAATCACGAGTATATTATCGAAATTCTTTTTACGAGATTAAAAAGAGGAGTATCATCTCAAAGAGATGTGTGTGCCAAATGTCTCGATATTACTTGTTTTATTATTTTTAACGAAAATTTAGGATATTTTCTTCTCTCTCTTTTTTTTTTTTTTTTTTTTTTTGTTAAATCCTCACATATACTTCTTTTATTATTGATTCAATTCTTATTACTTGTCGTTTAAATTTTCTCTATATTAATGAAAATTTATAGAAATCAGTATTATTATTTCAAGCATAGTTTATATACAGTTAAGTGTTTATATATTAATATTATATATAATTAATGAATAATATTTCTAAATGCATTATGCATTCGTTATTCGATATAGTTAAACTATCAAAACATTTTGTTACGAGTTCATCGGAAAATCAATAAAGCGAATAAAATGATCAATTAATTTGTAAATTATTTACTAATCCATATTCTTCATCTTTTCCGTTTAAAGTAATTTCATAAAACCAATTAATCTTGTCTTTCTATATCTCGCTTTAAATATTAACAAAATAAAAACAGATTTTCTATTCCACCTACGGTTTGGAGATTAAACATATACATTAAAAATATAGATTAAATGACACGAATAAATGAGACATACGTTCCATGGTGAAAGCTTTATTAAATATAATATGTATAATTCTTAAAATACCAGCTTATGAGAATGAAATTATAAGAAGGCAAGTGCACTTCCATTCGTTCGAAAGAAAATCGTATCGGTTAATTATAATCCATATGTACATACATACATACTTACATGTAATAGAAAAGAGATTATTCTAATTAGACCGTTTTAACTTAGGACGGATCATAATCCTTAAGACTTTGCAAATATTATCGACCTGTAAATCCTTTAAATACGACTATCGTAATGAAAATTTAATCATTTGATAGAGTCATGTCACGACAATCGGTAGTTCTATCGTTTCTTTTTTGTTTTTTATTCGTTACGTTGAACAGCGTAACGTCTAAAGTACTTCCCCCATCGTTATGGACAAGCTATCCTTCAAAATCAGGTAAATATATTTTTAGAATTTCTCATCTCGAATTCGAAAAGAATTAATTTTTCCTTTATAACTTTTCCTTTATAAACTTTAGTTTATTCGAGATCACTTGGACCACCTGTACCTGGGTATAGTACAATAAACGTACCGTATATGTCCAAATCACCACTTTTTCCTAAATTCGTTGATCCGAAAGCTATGATCTCTAAAAAGACTGATTTATTGAACAATCTTTTTGGTGGAATGGGTACGATTCCCTGGACTGCAGATAGCTCCAAATTGTTACCAAATAGTCCTTTTCAATATCTTACGGCGGACGAACAAAGTGATTTCCCTGAGACGAAAATGAATGACATTGTTCAATTGTACGAAATTTCGAAATCTAAATCTACTTTACCGTCGCAAGAAGCTAAGAGAAGCCTGACTTTGTTCGCCAACGATCCAGAATCTCCATTGAAAAATACAGTGTCGAATGATAAAACCGAGCTAAAAGATTTTAATTTGTTAAAGAACGATGACAATTCAAATCCCGAGGATAGTCAAACGCCTGAAAAAGAGAGCAATCCTAATGTGATAAAGGAATATCTCCCAGGAATGTTTCCTCCTGTTGCAATGGATCCGTCGATGTTCATTGAAAAAAAATATTCCTTTTTGGACACGCTATTTAAAAATCTTCCAACGAGTACCACTGTTCCTAGTTTTACCGAACCAACACCAAAAAGTACCATCGTACCACCTGAATTTTGGATTCCGAACTCTCTGGTCGTTAGTCCAACGGAATATAATGAAAAAGTATCGACGTTCTTGGATAAATTATTCGAGAATTTAACATTAAACAAGACTGAAGCTGAGAATGAAACATCTTCAGTTTCTGGAACAAGAGCAGCAAGATCAATCGAGGATGTATCTTCTATCATCGCTGCTAAAGACGCTTTCGTAAATACGATACTATTGCAATTAAGTGTTTTAAAGAATGAAATGATCTCGGTTCTAAACGATACGCTGACTTATCAAAAATCCTCAAGCGTACCTTCTCCAATATCAAAGAAACCATTTCTACCAGGTATGTGGATGAAGCCAACAGTGGACGCGATGTTACCTTTGAAACAAAAAATGGCATTTCTTGATCAAATGTTCGACATGTTGCTCGATTTACAAAAGAATGTATCTGCAAATATTCTAGAAACCGTAAAGTCTGAACTGAATGTACAAGGTGACGTTCAATCGTTAAATTTAACCGACGAATCTTTGACAAGTACTGACGATAACTTGTTAAATGAGCTTCTTTTAAATACCATTAAGCAAAATTTGGCACAAAGTGTTCAATATCCAGCAGTTGCTTCTAAAGATGCTGTCAAAAAAGTAGCTCGATCATCGCCGAACACAACATCATTTTGGGTTGCTTATCCGGAGAGTACTCATACCGTTGCTAAACGACACGCTCCTGAAAATAATTTTCAATATCCTTTACAAAGAGGAAATAAATTTAATTATTCAAACGACAAATTGGATCCGAGCCAATCCGCGGAAATGTTACAGAAATATGACAAGGGAGATACACACTTTGATTATGTAAGTTCAGCATCTTTTTTTATGTAATATTATCATAATAATATTATCTATTTAATCAATGGAATTTAAAATATAAACAATATGAGTTTTATAACAAATTCTATGATCGAGAACTTTTTCATACGTGTGATACAAATGTACGTATCGTATGTCATAGGATATCGATGGGCAAAGAGAGAATATAGAGAAATTTAAAAGATATGTTAAGTGGATGAAATATATTATGAACGAACACAAAGAAGGCAAGCATCATAATCAACATTATTATTATTAAGTTGTTTTAAGAATCTATTAATATTATTATTATTATATCTCATAATTCGAAATACTAAGTTGAAACTAAAGCTTGTAGATGATATTGATTCTATAAATAAAATTCTTTAAAAACAGTTAAAAGTATAACCATCAGACTTAACTATTTATTTTATTGTAATAATTATTTATATTTTGTCCGACGATCAATAATATTTATGAAATAATAAAAATGAAAATAGTCATGTTAAAAAAAGAAAATGTCACATAGATAATTGAATTTTTATTAACAATGAATATTAACTGCAAATGTATGTTGAGTATTAAAGTTTACTTAATTTTTATTATTTCCCTGAAGTAAGTATGCAAGTATTTTTCGTTGCACACTTTTCTTATTTTTTATCGCTCATCACAAACAGCTTGTGTCATAAGAGTAACTTCTGATGACTACATTTTATGACTTTAGGGCATAATAACACACACATAAACGCAATCCTGCATCAAGTGCATTGTTACGTTATTTTGCAATCAGCAATGCATTGCACGCAGGGTAGCGTTAATGTGTTAGGAAGCACCGTGACTTATGACAGATGTTCTGAAGTTCTTATTAATATATAGCTTAATTATAACTTCGTAGAAAATTTTAGAAATATTGGCAGTACTGGTAAGTACACACATAACATATACATAACTCTGCGCATAATTCCTCTATAGAAACTAAAAATAAATCAATCTAAAATATCGCACTAAAAGTATGACTGACTGTAGTTTGATCACAAGTTTTTCTGTTTTAAATTTTTCCGTAGCTAAAATACATTCGTGCGCTTTTCACAGCACAATATGAAATACTTAAATATTTATAATCTTATCTAAAGGCAATTTCACTTTTCCTTTTTAATCATTACTTATCATTTCTACAAAATTATCGCATTCACTACTCCGATCTAGTATCGCTATATAAAAGTTTAATAATATAAGTATAATCGATATTTATACTATATTTATTCTATACTTCTTCAAGTATGTGTTTCTTTTTCTATTTTTAACATATACATAAGAAGAGAAACTCCGATTTGTTAAAGTAAATTAGTTCTCAATATTTAATACTTAATAATATACTTCTCACTCTGGCAGGTATATACAATTTTCAACAATGTTTATTCTATATATGTTTGAACTATATAGTACTTTTTACTGTACAAAGCTATGACCCTTCTTCAGGAATTTAGACAATTTTTCACTTATTGTCTCTTCATATGCTCAGACTTTATCAGTTTGCATATAAAGACAAACTTCTGAACCTTTTATTATCAAATTGTACAGTATTTTTTTCAAATATTATCACCTATGTTTTACGATACGTTTTATTAACCGTTCAACTTGTCGATCAATTCTTAATACCATATAAATTGATGCTAGTACACTGCATAAAGTTACTAAAAATCCTAAACCTTGAAATATTAACTTTGGTGCAAAAATTTTCCAAACCATTAAGTGTCGGCAGTGAATTGTTGCAGCAAGCATGGAACCAAAAGTCTGAAAAATTTATAATCAAATAAATCAAACAAATCTTACTAATACATAAAATTATTAATGATAACAACTTACTCTGACTCCATGAAACATTATATATTTTCCTGAGACAGAAAATATAGCTCCATGGAACATAGATTCTTGTTCATATAGTACAAGTTCACCTCTTTTCATGTTATCTTCGCAAATCTTATTTCTACATAAATTTGGGAATATGAGGTATAGCGTAAATGGAACAATCACTAATAGAGGTAACATTGCTCCCAATATAATGTGTGATCCAAATGTATTGATCCCTATGTATAAAAATAATGTGTTGTAATATTTAAAGTTGATTAACAGATATTAAATCACATTAAAAATAGTTATATAAGATTTACCAATAAGAATCGCCGGTAATAAATTTCCATGAAAATGGCCACCTGTTCCGATAAAAGCAGCATCCCATTGAATTTTAGAAAATGTTGCTTGATGACCAGTTCCATAAAAGAAATATTCTGCTATCAGAAACCAGCAAAGAAGTGTTGAGGTAGGTACATTGACAAGATCAGCTGTTTACAACATAAAAATAATATACTGTGAAATACTAATAGTCACATTAGTATAACTTATCTTTAAATACTTACAGGCACTGGTTGCATGTTTATACCTCTCCATAGCAGATAAGCTCAAAACTGAGATACATGTGATAAACATTAAAAATGTACTAGGAGATAACATATCACCTAACAATAAAGAGTATAACAGTGTAAGAAAAGTGTTCAGTGAAATAAATGCAGCACTGTACACTGTACCCAAACCATAAACAACTGGAGTTTCATCTATATTAGTTTCTTTTCGACATATCGATTCCTTTATTTTTTCAAACAATTGAGGAATTATATTTTCACGTTGATAAATATTAATTGATTCTTTCTTTTTTGGTAACAAGTATACATTAAGTGGCCGATAATAAAGGATAAATATAGAGAGAGAACATATCATATAAACCATGTTTGGTAATGCATTCATTTGCCAAGAAAGAGCAAATTTTACTTTAGATAGTTTTGGAAGCCTTTGTAAAACCCAATAACATCCAATGCAAACACCACTTATCACTGGACAATACTGACCTACAATAATACTAAGTGAAAAACCTGTAAGGTTTCCACAGTTCCGCAACCAAATTCTGACGATTGTAATATACAATGCAAGTACGAATAAAGTGATAACTAATAAAATACGTTCTATATTTTTTGGTATGAAAGAACCAACTTTATTGCTTACAAACATGGAGCAAGTACGATCATGGTGTTCTTCACGACATTGCCAAAAATAATATGATAATCTGATAGAAATACAAGCGAAGAATAGAATGACTATTACAATTGTACTTGAATTTGATCTTGCTGATTGCTTGGAAAATGTCTTCATTCTTTTTTCAATATTTTTTTCTCTTACACTAAAAACAAGTAAGCAAATTAATGTAACAAGTAGAAAAGCTAATACATTATCCTCTTCAACAATATAACTATTAGAAAATAAGCCACAGAAAGTTAATATGAGTATTATTCTATTAAAAAAGGACCATTTATTAAATTTACGGTAGTTATAAAAATTCATAGAAATTACATCCCAATTTGGAATAATTATTAGAAGTAGAAGAAAAATGGAAACTGTTCCAGTGGCAAAAAATATTGTGTTTTTTAAATCTGTAATAATATCTAAAAAGAACAAACTAAGAACTATCATAATAGTTATTACATTTATTAATATGGAGCACTGTAAAAATAGAGTATCAAATATTGCAGTCATACGGTGCTGTGGAATACCACTTACAATCAAATAAGAAAAGAACAAAGTGCAAAACATTAAAAGTAAACCTTTTGACATTAATTTAGAATCAAATTGTACCCAAACTTCTGAACATATATCTTTAAGTTCATTAAAGTATTGTTTTGAGTTTTCTACAAAAAATTTAAACTCTTCTAAATTATTTATTTTCTTTACTTGAACGGACAGAGATGTATACATATTTTCTAACCTTTGTAATTGAGCTTTAGTAAACAATTTTGTATTAGCAGAATAGACATCTATATAATTTTTTGTTTGAACAATATTCCTCCAGAGACTATGTAATGGATGTAATAATTGATCCAGTGAATCATCTTTTGGATTTATATTTCCTGGTAAAGAATCTAATATTACAGATCCTAAATTAGAAAATGGTACAGGTATCCCAAGAATCGATGCTAATGTAGGAACAAGATCAATTTGATTCACACTTTCAGTGCTCTTAAACAAATTCTGTTGCACAAGGGGAACAGTTGAATACACAAACATAGCAGCCTCTATTTCACTAGGGCTATCTCCACCATGATCTCCACTCTTTGTCATACCATGATCTCCAACAACAAATAATATCATATCTTTATCAAGAAAATCAATAATCTCTTTTATAAGACTATTAGTGTCATTCAATTTCCTAGACATCTCAGGATGATGTGAACCATGTTTATGCCCACAATGATCAATTCCAAGAACATGTGCTACAAGTAATGACCAGTCATTCTTTTTCATTTCAAAGAAAATTCGATATCTGACATCCCTATCAACGGTATCAAGATCCCATACATTAAATGATGGAGAAGGAAATTGACGTTTAAATTTTCCAGGAAATAAATTGATCCAAGTATCATCACCCATAAAAATAACACCCTTTGTAGCAGTTTGTTCAATAAAATTGTCTTCCCCAATATTTTCAGAAGCAAAATTTGAACCAATATCTATGAATGTAGGTAAAGATCCTGTGGTAAGACCTTGAAGACGTTGCATCGTAGTTGTTGGGGGATCTGCTATGAATTTATATAGACGGGTATACAAAGGCTTTTCTTCCAAGAGTTCATGAATTATTGGCAATTTGTTACGATGAAAAGATGTTGCAGAAGTACTGTCATCATACCAAGTAGCAAATTCATATTTTAAAGCATCAACTACAAGGAGCACAACTCTAGCTTTGGGTTTTAGACAGATTGCAGCAGCATATTGTGTATCTTTAAAGATATTTGTTATATTACAATCTTCAAATGTTGTACAAATCTTGCATTCTGCTCGTTCTGGTCTAGATACTCGATTAAGAAGAAAACCACTTGTAAACACTAAAAGTCCGGCTGTCATTAAATAAGACATCCATCCTTGAAATAAAATGTAACCCCATAATTTGGTCATTTTGACAAAATTGCAATTGTGTTTTAATTTTTATTGATATTTATCAGTCTTCAAAGAAATCAGCATAATATTAGATCTATCCATTCATGATAATTTATCAGCCACATTGTTCTTAACACATTGTTTCTAACCACACTGAAACTTAACATATGAGTTTTACTTGAAAAATTTATTACCGATTAACTTAGGAATTTGTATGAATGAACGAATATCGATTTTTGAATTTCACTCCTTTCCGAATCAAAGTATCAGTACAATACTTTCAATATCATTGCATAACTTTCGATCAGAACTAACAATAATTTATATTTTCATTGTTCCCGATTTTTAAAAACTCATTTTATATTAAGGATACGGACTTAGAAATCATTAGAAACACAGGGATAGGACGCAAACATGCGGGGTGTGTTACAAAACATGGAAGGGGAATAGCGATCCGCCATTGTAAATGAACAATATTGTAAACTGACACAAAGAGATTATCAATAACATATATAAGATATTATAAAATATCTTAATATATTAATTTTATAATGAAAATATTCGAAAATATAGGATCTGATTGATTAATAGCTCGATCGTTTCTTGAAATTAATAAATGATAAAAATTGGTGTGTTACTCACCTTGGCAATTAATAAAAATAATCGAAAGAATTAATAATAAAATTAGAAATTTTTTTGAATATCAAAACAATTAATTTTTTATATAATTTGTTCAAAGGAAAAAATTATAATTATTTCATATCAATTCATTAATAAATACGAAAAATGTAATTATAAATTATTTTAAATCAGGCGCGCAAATCGTTCGAGTACAATGCCTCATTATTATTTTATCTTCTAGTTTTTCATGGTAATATCGTATTTTTGAAGAAGTCTATCATATAAGAATATCAACGCAAAACGTTTTTGAATAAAAACGAAACTTCAAAAATATGATTTCTTTATATATATATACATATACATACATTGATTATATATATATATAAATACATAACCAAGAAAATTAACTTTTTCATTTCCATAATTGGAGATTCTTATTATTCTATCCAGCAACGGGATTGGTGGAGATCGTATTGTACACTCTCCAATTCAGTAATGCCAATGACAACATTGAGATATCGAATAATAGTATTTATGATACATCATATATTAAATAGGTTTATTAAGTTTCTTACAGTTTGCTATATTATACAGGACGTCTTTTTATTGGTTGCGATCAGTGAACAAGCGGTTTCATTTTCAATGTCTATAACCAATTAAATTATTTGAGGAAGGAGTGAATGGATTGATCATATTGTACATACATGGATATAATAATTTATACTATGTTAGGGACCTCGCAGGGACAATTTCACTTTTAGTAGAAACTTTCCGATTGTACTGATTGGTAAAATTGATACTAAATTAGGTCAATGGGATTTTTCGTTGAGTCGAATTAGAGAGTTAGAGACTCTTTGATTTTATTCTTATTTATCGTATTACTCAAGCCATTGTGTTTTGTCTAAAAATATTTTATAAACTTGAATCTTCGTTACGTTACAATTTAAGTTTGAAAAATTGAAATTTTATTATAAGTGTTATATTAAAATGCTGCAATTATTTTCTACCATATTTTGCCACAACACCGATTGATGCATACGGTATGATGATTAGTGACCTGTTAATAGCGTTAAAATAAATATTTTTGTTATCTTACATGGTATTGATTAGATGAATTATACTGATTAGATGAAGTCGATTCCTTCGATTGCTGAACATAATACTCGATCTGCCAGATACAGCATGGCTGAAAGACTTGGTTTAGGTCCTGAAGTTCGGGAATTGAAATTAGGACCTTCTTTTACTAATAATAAATCGACAGCATTCCATACACTTAAATGTAAGTTTCCATCTGTTCGTTTTATCTTCTCTCTCTCTCTCTCTCTCTCTCTCTCGCTCTCTCTCTCTCTCTCTCTCTCTCGCTCTCTCTCTCGCTCTCTCTCTCTCTCTCTCTCTCTCTCACTCTCCTTTTTCTCTTTCTCTTTCCTTCTCTCTCCTTCTCTCTGTTGGTTTTATTTAATACTCCTTATATTTATGCTAATCTTTTTCCATTTTTAAGATGATTTTAAACCAGCAAGTGTAGATGTGTCTAAAATGGCCAGAGTAGATGTTGGAGCAAATAATACTATGACCGTTACTGTTCCACATTTAGATGGAGCAGGTATTCCTCATACAGTGTTCAAGGGTTCTCAGAGGCCTTACCATAAAGAATGTGTTCTTATAATTGATAGAATAACAGGAGAAATAACTTTAGAAAAGTTATCTGCGAATGTTCAAGTTAAAAAGACTCGGTATGACTGTATTATATTAATCTTTAATTCAATAAGATCATTGTCATAAATCCTGTGTCTTTTAGAACAGAACCAAAGTCTCAAGTACATTTGGGAACTTCTACGACAAATAGTATTAATAGACCTATTACACCTGTGGAAACTAAAAAAAGTCCAACTCATGGTAGGCCGACTAACAAGGCAAAAATTGTAAACCGTAAAAAAAGAGATCCAGTAGTTCAATTGCATTCAAAGCAAAGTAGTCCTGTTCAAATATCACCATATCATGGGAAAAGTCCACCAAATTCAATATCTGATAGGTATTAATTAATTATTATAATATTATTTATAATTATTATAAAATCATTAATTTCTTTTGTTATATCAATATTTAATAATTTTTATTAAAAAAAAATTAAACGTTTATTCTTAAATTATGAAAATATTAATTTTACATTTATACTCATAAACAGTTTACCAATGCAATCATCGACAGCACAATCAACTTTGGCTAGTCTTCCAATGATTAGTTCAGAAAATGATGATTTCCCTATGATATCACCGATGTCATCATTCGTAGCATCCCAATCTACGAATTTAACCAGAATGTCTCCTATAATGAACACTCGGCCTCCTGTACAAGCTCCAGCTGCTGCAGATAGTGATGAAGAAGCTCTTAGCGATTCAAGTTCAGGAAGTTCAAGTTCGGATAGTTCAGATAGTGATTCTGATACAGGAAATGTTCCAGTACCAACAGCGACTAATGGTATGTATTAATACAACATTAATCTCTTTTGTATCATTAATTATATTTAATTCTTTAATATAAAATCATGCTATTAGGTCATTCTAACGGTACGACTTTATCGCCGACGTCGCTAATGCCAAATAACTTACTAAACGAGGATTTACAGCTGTCGGAATCAGAATCTGACAGTGATTAATAATGATTTTTTAAAACGGTAAAAGTAATAAAAATGTGGTCTCTATGATAGATATGCATGAGGTAAGAATATTAATATTCATTATTTATAATGCAATATGTTTGATTGTTATTAGAATTTTTCTTAGAGAAAATGTTCTAATAATATTAATTGTAATTTTTATACTTGTGTGTAAATTTCAGAAATATCTTATTGTGAGATTACGTGTTATTGTGTATTTTCTAATCAATGACATATATTTGCAAAAAAAAAAAAAAAGAACGAATGGAAATATTATATTGTTCGATTCAGAAATCAACAGCCATTAATATATGTTTGAAAATGAATTAAATTTGATTGTATATAAAAGATATACCACCCTATAAATATAATGGAATAATGAACATTATATGTTCAACGAATAATTTCATTTAATAATACTTGAAAAGAAATATCAGATTTTATTTCATGCAAGATCCTGAATTGATGCTATAATATGGATTGATTCTAATATAATGCAAAAATAGAAAAAAGTACTCATTATGAAATATTTATGTTTAATGGATATAATATACTAATTTATTAATATTCTGTTTTAAGCAAATTCTGTATGTAAATTAAGAAATGATACCATAGATACAATAAAAAAGCTACTTTTAAATTATATAAAGGGCATTATCTATATGAAAGATGTATTTGCATAAAAAGGATAGTTAGGTTGTAAAAATGTTAAGTGACTAATATTATTTAAATACATAATCTTAAATACCATGATCTAATAGAAATTTCATTCATCTATGCATAGTTGAAATAAAAACTTGCTATAATTAAATTGTCTATAGATCATTTAAATCAAGTATTCCTTATTTGATCTATTTCCATTATAGCATTTAATTTTTTCTAATGGAACATTAACCAGCAACAATATAGATACTTTTCTTTCTAATATTTTTCATTTAATCTGATAATAACTTATTGGCAAATATAATTTTAAAATTATCTAGTACTAAGGGTCATTGTAAAATCGAATAAAAATTAAAACTTTGATACTTTGGGCTAGTTTTATTAATTCAATTAACAACGCGTTTATAATACTCTTCGTCTCTTCCTCTTATTTATAATTATATAATTTTAATGAACCGTTATTGTTTTCTTTAGACCCGTCGTCAACATCTTAACATAACTCACCCACGTTCACGGACACGCACACTATAGAAGCACGCAGGATCATCACGATTATTATCGTAAATCGTCACAGTCCTTATCGTCGTCGTATCGTCATTATCATCGCTATCATAATCATAATCGTCATCAGTTTACCATCACCGTTTCGTAATCATCGCGTAATTTTTATTTATCACCATCACCAATCATTATCATCGTAACAGTCATCGTTAGATTATCACTCAACGCACCTAGTATTTAAACTGGATATGGCAGCTACAACTTATAAGAAGTGTATTACAAAATCACTTAACGAATCGTTCTCATCGCGCGCTCCGACGATAATTATTAGTACTTTTTTTTTTTTCTTCGTTTTAATTCTTTTAATTTTCTTTGTTGCTCTTCTTTTGTGTCTCCATGCACGCAAAACACTATCATTCCGACGGGCTAATAAGTAAATCTAACTTTTCTTGTTTTCTCTCTTCTTGCTCTTTTTCCCATTCTTTTCTCTCTCACGCGACGATCTATCTCGTCTTAAATACTCATATACGATCTTACGGGATCTGTTTCGTTAAACACCTTCGACAGTTTCTCGTGCGTCGACTTAAAATGTTAAAGATTAAAACTTTCCCCTTTCGTCTTTTCCTTTTTTCTTCCTAAACAATACCGAAGTACCTGAGAGGATCGGATTTCGACTTTTATTTAATATCATGATCTATTGAATCTTTTTTAAAAATGATATATAATATTATATTATGTATTATAATGCAAGTGTCTTTCTCTCTCTCTCTCTCTCTCTCTCTCTCTCTCTCTCTCTCTCTCTTAGAAACTGCTACGTACGCCAGTTATATATATGTCTCTATATATAGGAAGAACGTAGGAAAACGAGCGTATGTGCGTATATTTTTTTGAGATCATAAAACGGTCACGAGTATTTACGTCGAACGCGTTCGAAACAGAGCCGCATGATTTTTGTATTCATCCGTTAAATCATTCATTTCATTTCTTTTTTTTTCCTTTTTTTTTTTTACCATATTCCTTCCTAACTTTATCTTTTAATTATGACGCTCTTCGTTGTCGCGGATAACGAGATACCGCGCGTTTTCGCCACTTCGTCATCGATTTTTTTCACATGTATTTATGTATTTATGTATTTATGTATGTATGTATGTATGTATAGCGGATCATGAATTTCCTATTATCTCTCCTAGTACTTCGTATTAATTAGTTTACACAATTCATTTAATCACTTGCAATTGAATTCACCTATAAATCTTTTAAATCCTTGTTAACACTTGTCTCGTGAAACGCATATGTTTTTGTCTGTCTGTCTGTCTGTCTACTTTGTATGTGTGTATGTGTGTTTGTTTAGGAAATCGATGGAAGTATATGAACGTGTTATTTTCTTTTAGTACACGTGTGCGTATTCCTTGTGTGTGTGTGTGTGTGTGTGTGTATGCTGTCTGTTCTGTTGTGTGTATGTGAGAGAGAGAAAGGGGAGAGAGAGAGCGTGTCAGCAGCGTGTTAATTTTTTTGTAATTATTATTTTCACGTAGCTTGTAGTGACTATCTATTTTATTAGAGTTTACGTTTTATAAATATCTTATAATAAGACGCGCCTTGTTCGCTTCACATCCTTCGATCGTGCGCTTTTTGTACGAGGGTGTTAACAAGAGAACCGAGAAATACATCTTGCGATCGATGTGTGTGTGCGTCTACGTGGGTCGCCTACCTTCGTTATTTCTTATTTGATTTTGCGAGAGTGAAACGATCGGTAGTTGTAGCATCGGCAAGCGATTCAATGGATACGAATGAAGCGTACAAGAGGGCTAAACGGGGAGGACGAATATCGAACGAACGAACGAGCGGAAGTGGATTGTTCGTCGTGTCTGCAGGGCTTGAAAAGGATGGAAAATAGGAATCAGAGGGGGGAAGCGGGAGCGGGACGACGGGGGATGGTAAGGGGTGGCTAGAAAAAGCTCGAACGTCGCGGATGGAAAAAGTGAGCGGGATGCGAAAGGAAAGAAGCTGCCACGCGCTTTTATTTTTTATTCGTTCTGTCTTCGTGAATACTTCTTTTTTTTTCTTCTTTTCTTCTTTCTTCTTCTTTTTCTTTTTTTTTTCTGGCGAAAGAGGCCTATACGAGTTTAAGATATTGGAAATAGATACTAGAGGAAACCGATCAAGTTTAATCGATCTACTGCTTAAACACTATTTGGTAAAACGATTGACGGCTCGAGGAGAACCGTCTTCGGTCGATTTTTCTTCTCTTATACGTTTTTTTTCTTCTTTTTCTATTCTTCTTCTTCTTCTTCTTCTTCTTCTTCTTCTTCTTCTTCTTCTTCTTCATCTTCTTTTTCTTCTTCTTCATTGTTTTGCTGTCTTTTTTTTTTTTTTTTTTTTTTTTTTTTAAGGATTGTACGAACGAAACGCTTATTTTATTACGTCGTAGACGAAATACTCGTATTTTTCTGTCGGGATGCGTTCCTCTTTTTTCTCAATTTCTCTTTCTTTTTCTTCTTCTTCTTTTTCTTTATTCGTTAATGATTATCTTAGAGAAAAGGAAGATAGCAACAGTCAGCAGATATGAGCCGGCCAAATCGATCAAGATAGATATTTTCGATATTAATAGTTTGTTTCGTTTGTTAATCTCGTGGGCCGATACATTTTCTTTTGTTCATCTTGAAATAGTATTCTGTGCTCTCTTTTTTGTAGTCTTTGGTACCCGTAGAGAGGTTCCTCGTTTTATAAGTTCGTCTTTTCCGCATCGACGCCGTGCGAGAAATTTATGAAAATCTTGTAAGACAGAGAAAGAGAAAGGAGTTAAAGGAAATGTGAGAGAAAGAGAGCGAAAGGTTGATCGGAGGTTGAGAAACGGAGGAAAAAGGACAGAGAGAAAGAGGGAAAGGATAAATAGGTAAAAGATAGAAGAGATGGTGAGGAGTCACGTTAGTTCTAAAGGAGAACTAGTTCGATAATTTTAATTTAGCGAGTTTGCGCATAGATAGGCTTTTCCTCGCGAAGATATTAAAGGAGTAAGTTGAAGGGTCGGGTGCTCGCGAGGAATCGAGTTTCGGATCGAACGAATTCGTCGATGTAAGTTTGAAGATCGGAGATCTGATAAATATCGCCATCGTCCAATAGACAATGATCGAGAAGTGACTCGTTTGCGCGAAAACTCTTCCACTGAGCGTGGAAAATGTCTCGACATGACAAAGCCATCGATCGGGACGTTCTCTATTTTCTTTTGATCGCTGCTTTCATTTCTTTCTTTCTTTCTTTCTTTCTTTTTTCTTTTTTCTTTTTTTTTTTTTTTTTTTTTTTTTTTTTAATATATTCTACCTCTAACCTCCGATAAAAGAGTACCGTCGAATGTCGAGCGACGCTCATATATGAACACTTCACAAGGACACGGCGATAGTTATAAATTTGTGGATATCGTTCGACTCGTCGACGATTAATCGCCGTCGCTTTCACCGTTGCTCCCTTCGACTTTCAACAACTCGCTCGAGAACGTTCGATCGCGATCTCGATCACGTTATCACGTTATTATTTTTATCATTGCTTCATTCTCGAGGAGCCATTGCAATCTGCGTTGACTATTTGTCGAGATGGCGAGGTCCTCTGTCAGTAGACCCAAGAAACCGGCACCCATTGTGGCGTCGTATGAACTCGTTCGATTGCTGCCTCCAATTGGGCGATCGTCTCCTCGATGTCGTTGTTCACGATGGTCAGGTCAAAGAAATGTCCGTACGCTTGCTTCAACATGTCGGATTCCTTCGCCAACCGTTCCAGGCTACCGTCGTACTACAAATTATACAGAACAATCCGATTAATGTTTGACCTATTTCTTAGAATCACATGCGATCGACGAGAATCGATAATTTATCGGCACTTACGTCGGTGATGTTTTGAAGTACTGGAGCTGCAATGAAGACAACGTACGGAGCGAACTCGGCTGTACGTAGGACTTTCAATGCTTGCGGTTCTACATCCAATATCGCCATTCTCCCTTCTTCATGAATCTTTCGAATAGTTTCCAGTTTCGTTCCGTACATGGCATCCTCGTGTGTTCCTAAATATTTGGATAAACCATCGATTACATTCAAGCGAACTTAGTAATAGAATTTTCAATGGAAATAATCTAATACACACCATATTCGAGATATTCATTAGCAGCGATGTCAGCCATCATCTCGTCGTGCGACACGAAATAATAATTACGTCCATTTTCTTCGTCAGTTCGTGGAGGCCTCGTTGTATCTAAATGAGTAAAATAAAAAAGGATTTTATTCATTATTTCCTGTCGAGATTCGATCATTTTTAAAAGATACTCACGCGGAATAGGATAGGCATATTTATCGGGATGCTTCGCAATAATCGTATTCTTGATGTGTCGACGACCAACACCGTGTGCTCCCAGTAGAACCAGAGTCTTGCGTTGGAAGGCAGGATCTGTAAAAAAAAAAAATATATATATATATAATGTAATTATAGTTTTTCTTTGTTATTATTGTTAAATTCGTAATATTAATAATAATTAACACTCACAGGGAAGTTTAACGACTTCCTCATAGGTGACCAGGTCCAGCTGATCGAAGACTGCATTATGTTTCGCAAGATACTTGTCCTTGTATTGCTTCTTCTTCCGTCCGAATATCGAGCAATTCACTGTAAAACAAAGATTAACGTCAGAATTCGTAAAAGTAACGAATAACAGCGTTACGATTGTATTCAATTTAATAACTTTAACGGTGTATCTATTTCATTCGATATGTGTAAATTTTATAAATTCAGCCAGTATATATTTTCTTTAATTTGTAAAAGCAACAAGTCAAGCTAATTCAATGGTAAATTCTAAAAAATCATTACTGTCATGATAATAATAATAATAATAATAATAATAATAATAATAATAATAATAATAATGATAATAATAATAATAATAATAATAATAATAATAATAATAATAATAATTCTGCAGAGAGTACTGTCATAAAATACTGGTACAGCGGAACTCGTGCAACTAAATACTTTGCGAGCATTTGAAGATCTTTAAAAGCATACAATCGCTGCTTTTTTTTTTTTAGAGCCAAGTGTGATCGATTATATAGTGTCATATTTATTAATTTTGCTTTTGTTAAAGGAGAAGCTTCTTCAGGGCCTTATTTGGGCAGCTTGCTTGTTCGATATCGTCGATGTCGAATGAACGAAGGCAGAAACGTTGACCACGCTAGTCTTTTCTGATTAACGTAAAGGGAAAATGTTTCTACAATAAAGGATACGACAAAGGTACAATTTTCTTGATTCTTTCGATTGATTTAAATCCTAATGTATTCATTTCGAGTTATCTTCTAAATGAGATTATTAATTCTTTCGATATAAACGAAAACTTAATCTCGATCCATAGAGAGAAAAAGTTAATTGTTTAGGTATACAGTTGAAAAGAAACCATAATTAAAATAAGAATTGGGAATTCTCATTGAAAGAGGGATGTTACGGCAGGTCGTAATATAGAATGTCAAGGATGATGTATTGGGTCGATCTCTCTTTTCATGTGTGAAGTTTTTAAAAGAAATGTTACAATCGTGTATATTTGTAGACGATGTACACTTGTCTGTTTGCTTCTTAACGAGAAAGAGGAATCGTGCTATATAAGCGTTAAGTGAAGTACGTGACATGATTTGCTTAGGTACGGCATGCATCCCTTAAAGAAGACTATACGTCCAACGGTTCAAGGATTTCCATGGTTTTTTAATATGTTGAAAAGTAACCGATCATACTTCGATTTTATTTCAACGAATTAAAATATCATCGATAGAATACGATCCATTGGTAATATCGTTTCCTTTTTCAATTTTCGTGCGTCACGATAGAGAAAGAAAAAGAGAGAAAGAGAGAAAGGGGGGAGGATTGGGGGAGAGAAAGAGAGAAATATCAGCAAAGTGTTTCTGCATTGATTAAGGCATGACGATCAGAAGCTTTTCGTGTAATTCGTTTTTTTCTCTTCAAAATTTGGAGGAAATAAAAAAGAAAAAAAAAGAAAAAAAAAAGAAAATGTGTCAGAGAGATGAATTAATAAAAAGTATGTATTATAATAGTATATTTTATCAATTATTCCTCTTCCTGCTGGCGTAAAAATGATTAACTTAAGTATACGCTGAAATGGATATGTTAATAAAACTGGAACGACGTTTTCAGATTGGACGAATGATAATATGTAAGTGGTATCGAATGGAGTGTATAGTATTATGCGAATACAAAGATTGTGATTGTATAACGAAGCCCATCTTCGATCGTTCATATCGCTGTGTCTATTTCTGCAATCCCAGACTCAACAAGAATCAACAACGCGTGTGTTGGAAGCGTGGAACGAGTGTTTTTGTAGTTCATGCGACTACGCGTTCCTACATGACTCTACGCGTATCTACCTGAAGGCAGGACCATACCTGTCGAACCGTCGCAGCCTTCGGTGTGAGAAGAACATCCTCCTTCTCCTTCAGCATCTAGCCCACATAACACAAAACAATATGATATATCACAGCAACCATCTACTAGTTTTAAGCTGGTTATCTATCAGACTTTATTCTCCGATCATTATATTTTTTTTTTCCTTTCCTCTTTGATTTTCTCTTTGTCGTTCTTTCATTCGAATTGACTAATATCATTTCTTTGTCTATTTGTTTCTTTTTTTTTTTTTTTTTTAAGAATAACAATTTTCAGCTTCTCGGTGCGTTCTCTCTTCTTCATTAGTACTCCTCCATCTTTCCTTCCATTTTTCTTTGATAATCGAGCAAGTATTCGTACAAAAACAACGATCCCAGAGGATAAAGACGATCAAAATAAAATTCGTCCTTTTAGTTTCCATATCAGAAAGATAATCCTGCGATCTGCTGGTGTTCCCGTCGTATTTAAGACAAGTTCTCTCTCTTTTATTTATTTTTTTTTTTGGAGATCTCTTTCGTATTCCTTTGAAACGGATCGTTTCCTTACCATATTATCATAAAAAGAACTATAAATATCATTCAATCTAGCCTAATGCCATCGTGAAATGATTCGCTACGATTTCGATGATATTACATCAATCATAATTAAAGTTCGTAATAAAGTCAATTACGATTCTACTTTCGCTAATTAATTAGCTCATCAGTTTATTGCTATACATATAGATACACACATAACATACACAGAGCGTAATACAAACAGCTGTGGAGTATCGATGAGATAACCTTCGTTCTGCTTTTCTTTTCTTTATTATTATTTTTCTTTTTTTTTTTTTTTTCTTTTTATTTTCTTTTTAATTAAATTTACAAGGGAGATAAAGGGAAACATAATCTCGAATTTTATCTTACGAGACTTTTTCCTGGTTACGATATACGATATTGTATATCGAACGGAGTGGCTAGCAGGTTGCGTGCT